GTGGTGAAAGTCTTTGCAGTTACACCCCCTCGAGAAATGTCAGCTGAACACGTTTTACAAATCGCAATAATTTTCGGCGGCCGAATATTCGGTGCCTCCCTAAAAAAATATCCTTTAACACAGGAGATAAAAAAATGCATAAATAAATGTTAAGGTAAAATAAGATGTGAATGAACAACAAAAATAAAATAAGTTACATTCATTTGTTATTGGCTATGGTAGGTAATTGGTTATGTTCACATACTTATTTGATTACATCCACTTGTCTAAGATGACAACAGAGACTTTCGACCCAAAATCAGCTGTTGACTTGTGGATGCAAGCAGCTAATCGCAGACTCAACCAGAGAGAAAGTAGTAGGCCTACATCATCAGCTACCATGTCTGACAGAGAGGAGAACAGTCAGGAGGGTAGTGATGACAGCTTGTAGGATTACTGCTCCCGCTGCGCTGCGCTCCCGTGAGCGGAGCCTGCTGGCGCTATGGTGTAGCGCTAATAAACGAAACAATTTAACAAAATTGCTAGTCAAAATACCAATACCACAGGAAACATTTTTTTTTTAAACAATATTTTTAGTGGCCCGAGCGGGCAAGTGGAAAGTACGTTATGCTGGCCCGGGGTGTCTAAATAGTGCTTCCGGGCCAGCGGGCCATTTATAATGTCGAGCCCTGCAATAGTACTGTGGTGCCATAGTTAATCTGTTACTTGAACCAAGTTAGATCACCCACAGTCTCCATTCTTTTCAGGACAAGCTGCTCTCAAACTTCCACAAGAAGTACCAACATACCAAACTAAACATTTATATTAAAGTTCACAAATAATTATTTGAATGTTTTTGGTACTTTGGCAGTCGCAGCATCTAACCCATTTCCAAATGGTCTTTGTCTATGCAGCTGCTCACCCCACCCCTCTACTTTAGTCTCAACAAAGCAGATTTATCAGTATGTCCCAGAGTGGAGAGAAAGGATGGAACCAGGCAGAGAAGAGCGCGCCCCAGGCATCAGCTGGACTGTTGGGGGGGTTACGGGGACACATCATGCATGCATATGAAAGAACATTACTGTCACAATCAATTCATGAGATCTTACTGTCTTTAACCCATTTGTGGCATGTGCCAAGCAATCTGAAACAAAGAGACATGTACACCTAGCATATAGTCATCCCTTATTTCATCCAGTGCCGCAAATACGCAGGATCGAAAATGTATTGATTCTGTGTGGCTGTACAGCATCACACATTATAGCTGAGTGAGGGGTCAAGTAGATAACAGAGTCAATGCTAATGCTTACATTTAATATCACTACACTGCATCCCAACGAACAGAGGACCACATTCAGATCATACAGGGTGGTTAGAGTTATTTTTTCGTAACGTTCAGTCCAAGATTCATTAAAGCAACTCTTCATTCAGTTGAAGATACACCTTTCTTTCTGAGACGGAGACAGTCAAGGGAAAGCGCTGAAGTACGGAGATGGTGAGCTCAGCATGAAGACAGGAAGCAAAGGATCTGGCCAAAGTTTAAAATACTCTTACAAAGTTCACCATTTACCCCCAGACATTAAAAAACTGTTCAAATTGTGTTCTGTTTTACTACCGCATGGTACAGCTCAGCATGGTAACGGTCACATTTCTATTTTGTTTTCTACAGCAGGTAGTCTACCCCGAGAGGGAGTACAGCGTCACTCACGAGACACACGTTGAATCCTTTAAATCAGTGACCAAACAGAGGAAAGGCTGTACTGACGGCATTTTTTCTAAATCTGGGTCGAACAAAACTTGAATGATATTGCTTGAAGGTGAATTGGCTATTTGAAAATGGCCTAGAGCATACCACAGGTATGTGTCCTACTATAGACCCAATCAGCTATTTGATATAGATATACATTGAAATGCTCTACCTTGTTGTTTAGGCACCTCCTTTCTTCCAATCAAATCCCAGTTGGTTGCTCCAAAGATCAGCAGTTGACCTTTTATCTTTGAGCAATCAAGTTTCTATGGAAAGGACAAATGAAAGTCAATAACAGAAGAACCTCATGCAGCTGCCTAAACTCAGATGGCAAAGCAACTGTATCTAAATGACAGCACGTGAGATTTCATTAATGAAACATTCTGGGATTTGGAAAATGTTACTTTGCTCATCCTGATTACAATGTTTATGGACATTATTTCCATCCATTTATGTTCCTGAAATCTAAACCAATTATAGTTGAAATATATGATTTCATTTATCAATGTAGAGCAAGTAACTGACCTTCTACAACCATATATAAAATAGTCTATCCTTGTAGACAAACATAAGATAGCTTTAATAAGAACTCTTCCTGCAGAGGTATCCGCTTTTATCCGAAAGCAAATAAAGGATAAATCACTTAAGAAAACTAAATTCCATGCCAAGGGTCAGAATGTCAAACATAATAAAAAACACTAATATGCCTACATGTGCAGAATATTAAAAGCAATATTATGAGGTACTCATTCTTAAAGTATCATGAATATTGAATGAGAATGCAATGTTTGGTTGTTAACAACTTATTTTCTCCAACAGGAATGGAGAAACTTAAATTGGTTAAATATGTGTAACGTACATGTTTAAATTGAAATGTAATGCTGCCCTCCTCTAGTTTTCAGGAAGTGCATCAAACCTACTATTTTCTCTTTGACGTCATCTGCCACAGTGACAGGCTGCAGGCCGGACTTAGCAGGCTTGCCAGGTTTCTTGTTGTTCTCCTGTTCGAAGTCAAAGTCCTCATCACTACTGAAGTCTCTCTCTTTCCTCTTGCCGCTGGTCCGCTTCTTTTTCACCCCACCATTCCCTGAGACATCTGTCACCTTCTTACGGGGCATTTTGTTATCTGAAGCTGGTTGTGGGAAAGACACAGGGGTTTTAGATTATATAGAGTAATAGTAACAAACATAATTAATGTCTACAAAAAAGTATTCATGTTGGAAAAATGGAACAACAATGTGAGACAATGAAACAAGTGGTTTTGTCTCTGATATGCCAACATCTAGACGTTCCACATGTACACAAAGAAAGAGGTAATATTACATAAATTGATTTGAAATAAATAACATTCAGTCTATTCCTTTTTGTTAAATTAACTTTACAAACAAGACCACAGTTCTGAATAAATGCTCCTAACATGCAAACACGCGCGCGCACCTAAAAGAGTAACTATTCTGTGTGTCTTTAAATAGACTAACGTTCAAATGAGCAGGTTTACTTTATTTACATGATCCAAGTAGCCATTGTAACCTCAATTTTTAAGAACCCGTCATAAGAATGGAGATGTTGTTACATTTTGTCAAAATGTAATTCGCTGTCTAATGAAAAGCTAGTGTAAACTATCGGAAGGATAGAAAAGCCCACAGCAAACTAAAACATGTACCGGTGACCGTCTGCTAGCTAGTGTTAGCTGCTAGCTTCATTAAGCTAAGCTGCTAACCACTGACGTTCTTTGTTCACATAATGGTTGGGTAGCAAGCTACGTTAGCTGGCGTGCTAACGTAGAACATGGGACGTTAGTAAGTTAGCGGCTAGACAAACAAGCTAGGCAAAGGTTGTCTGCTATAGAAACATAGCCGTTTCTTAAAAACACACACTGAAATTAAAGTGTTTAAAATGTGCAGTGGAGTGATAGGCTTCATTAAGCTAACATCACCTCGCCACTGTAAGCTAACAGGCACTCTCAATAAAGACATGGAAACTAACGTTACAAGAAATGATGCTACAACACAAACTTTTTCAATATATTCTAAAACACGTTTTAACTTTAACGTACGTTCAATCTCTTCGACTTCGACAAAACATGTTATTTGTAAATTACATAAAGCTAAGAATAAATATATGTACCGGTGATTTCCTGATTCAGCAGCTCTCTACCCGTCTCCGGTTTGATTGATTTGAACAAAAGAAGCTGCAGTCTGCTTTCACACCACGTGGTTTGCATTAAGTATTCACACAGGAAACCAAGCACTCACCAATTATTCCAGCTGGACCCAGAAATAATCACGGAGTGATCACAACTGTCACAGAGCGCGAAAGTGAACTGAACTATCATAGACAAGATTCTGAAAAAGTTTTGGCCATTTAAAACAATTATTATTGAGTAACAACCACTGGCATAAAAAAGGAACACAACTTGGAACAAAGAGAATGTGACAACAACACTGTTCAGCTTTCGATCATGCACTCTCTGTGTCCACAAGTTGGAATCATTATTATAGAAGAAACACCTTTTGCATTCCAGTGTATTTTATTAGTCAAAGTTTTAACATAATTATATATTTAGATCTGTTCGATGAATGTTCAAAATAATAATACGCTTAGTGTACATTTGTAAAAACCTTACATTTATTCTAAATTAAAAAGTATATATTTTCAACTTGTCTTATGGTTTCACTTACCCGTCTCAAGAAAGTGAAATTATTCAATAGTTCACAAAAGATTAGAAAAAAGTTGCATTTTATAATTGTATTTGCATTTCTTTATCTAACCTGTTTCTCAACGTTATAAAAGATGCACCTCAGTGGAGCTACAGTATCTTCACGCAAATGCATGTTAACTGATGAATTTTCAAATTGTACATATGGAAGTTGCCATTGTGTGAAGCTGGTTACGTTATTACATTGACCACCACAACCCCGACCCAAAAGAAAGGACGTATTATTGGCTTCCCTTCATTTTTTACCCACGCCACGCTACTGGAGGTAAGGCGTGTGTTGAAGGAATTACATTTTCCAGACAGTTGCACACTTCTCAGCTAGTTGCAAATAACCAACATGAAGCTTATAATTTCCCTTTTCTACCACAGACAAACCATTTCATCCTCATCAATTCTGAATTACAATCTGCCTCAGTGCATGGTTTCCTGAGCACTGGAAGAGGCGTTTGTAGCAGGATGTGACTTCTTAAATCTGAAATCATTCTGTCGATCTGAACTTGTTTGGTCATGTATGTTCTCTGGAAAAAAATACCCAATGATCTGAGAACTTTGTCAACAGTCAAAAGTAAGCTGAAAACTATTATTTGGTTGTGTTTTTTCATATATATTTTTTAACATAATGTATTTTAACTTTTATTATTTTAATTATTTAAATGTAATTGGTCTGATTCAATTGATCACCAATTAATCCCACAGACTGTCAATCATTTGATGTCACTTTATTTCCTGGACGTTTCACTTCTCAGATCCTCATCAGAAAAAAATACATACAGGCAAATAGTATGGAGCTATTTCAGGGTCATAAGTTTTGATAATTCAAAAAAATGCAATTTATTTGAAAGTTCAAGTTTTTATCCTGAACTTTAAAAAATACAATGATGTATTAAAAATAAAAATAAGTATTTGAAATCATTTTTCAGGTTGAATATTATTTTGATTCAGTTCAGCAATTTTTTTGAATAAAATATTTATTTTCAGATTTCCCTTTTATACATATTTTGATATTTGAATCCTTATTTTTTTGAGTTGCAGATTTTTCGTTTTCAGATTCAAAACAATTATTTTTTCAGTTTCAAATCTTGTTTTTTCAGGTTTCACATTGCTTTTCACCTTCAGATCGTTTTTCACTTTCAGACCTTTTTTTTCGCTTTCAGGCCTTTTTTTTCGCTTTCGAACTTTTGGCCCTGATGTTTCTTGGGGGGCGGAGCTTACCAAAGTGTAGTTTGGCATCCTGAGTGACGGCCTCCCTCTGTCATGTTAGGCTTGTTTGAGACAAGCGAGACCTGCGCAGACCTGCGCAATTGCGATCAACGTCCTGCTAGTGCGTTGCATGTTGGTTAGTCATTTTGTCCGACTTGCTCTGGAGTCTCGCTGGATAGAGCGTGGGAGGCGGGGCCTCATTCATTCCTATGAGAGTTGCTCATTGGCGCATGATGATAAAATGGCCCAACTTTTGAGAGAGCGAAACGTCACAGATTACCCGGCATGCCTGAGAAGTACCCGTATGTGCGCATGCGCAACTTTAACCAAAATGCTCGTTCACATCAAGCACGTCAATTTGCGTACACGTAACAGCACCGCGCGTTCATGACAGCATGGTAATGATTTGTTATTATGATGGATTTGATATTAACGAAGCGCCAGTTAGCAGCTAGCGGCTAGCTAGTAATTATGCTAATGTACACATCAATCGTTATGTACTTATATTAC